GTCCCGTCCCGTCCCGTCCCGACCCGTCCCGTCCCGTTCCTTCCCGTCCCATCCCATCCCTTCCCGACCCGACCCGTCCCGTCCTTTCTCTGCGCTGCTGCAGCCACTCCTGAATCTGTTCCCGTGGTCAGGACGCAGTAACACGCGGGATATACCCCACAACCGAAACTTTACTCTGCGCGAAGAGTTATCAGTTCTTTGGGGAATTTAGTTATTCCTTAAGGAACTGAGTTATCAACTGATTAAGCTTTTCGTGACGGTCCCTGCGTCGGTACCCCAACCCTGCCCAGGAGCACGGCCGTGTTGTAGCGTCCCTCTGAGGGAAGGCGTTTTCATTCCATTTTGGAAACTGGGATAGGCGTATACTGAAGTTTTGGGCATGCTGGCTAATTTTAGGTGCTGAACGAGCAAGGTCTGTATCTGAGTCATCTCATAAATCCGCTGATCTTTGGAAGTGCACGAGCTGTTCGATAGGAAAGCCTCGTTTGGTGTTACTGTGTTGGATTAAAGGGGGTGAGCTGGGAGGGATGGCTTTGGTTTCACAACCAGGCATATCAGTGTGAAGTTTGAGTTGTGTAGACATTCCTAATTTGGGCATGTTTGATATTTTAATTTTTTTTAACTGCATGACTTTGCAGAATCCAGTAAGGCTGAATGGGGAGAAGCTGTTTATAAGGAGTCTGTTTCCAGCAGCTTTGCATTCTTTTGTGCAAAGTGAAAGGTGACTGTGCCATCCCTTGTAGCTGTAGCACTGCTGGTGGGGTGCTGCACTGAAGAGAAATTAGACTTTAGCTACCACTTTATGCCAAGTATTCCAGGGCAGTAATCGGCTCTTTCAGCCACCTTCAGGCTGAGTAGTGTTTGCTTAGGCGAGGATTCCCAGACACTCCAGCTGTCCTAAATGAGAAGCAGAGGCTCTAATCTGGGAATGGAAAATACTCTTCATAACTTTGAGATGTGGGAGAATGCAAATCTCCTGGAAGTTCAGGTGTCAGACTGGCTGGGGACAGTCTCAATGAAGCAGCAGTGATTCATATTCTTAGCTCTCAAGGACATCTTTAAAATGTGAGAAAAAATCCCAGAGGCTAGTTAATTACACATTGTGGAAATCGACATTTTTTGAAACTCTTCTAACATGTGTGTGGATCTGAGTTTTTAGTAGTAACTCTGCCAGTGATAAAATAACTTCCTTTTTCTAAGATTATTGTGTGCAGAGAAGACTAAATTTTACTTAAACCTCTGCTCACACAGCTGTAAAGGGGAAGAAATGGTGTATAAGGAGTTATGTTCAGACCTGGGAGACCTTTAAAGCTCTTTTGCTTAAATCAAGTAATTATTACCTTCCCCTTCTTGTGTTTCTGCCTTCTCTCATGTCCTTTTCCCGATCTCTGGTAATGAAAGAAGAAGCCTTTGAAGTGAAACTTGTTTTTCCCTGATCTTTTTCTTCCCCTTTCCAGTATAAATTCAGAGACCTGACCATAGAAGAGCTAAAGAATGTCAGCAAGACCTACCCAAACTTCACATTCTCCATGAACACATACAGTAAGGAGTGATACAGTTACTTTAAGCTAATTGTGAGGATTCTTACTTGCTGCAAATGCAGAGTGTGTGTGGTAGAACCTAAATAGTGTGAATATCTTTCAGTTATGTTCCTGTCTTTATTTTGACTTGCAGTAAAATTTCTCATGCCATGTGACTGTTTCTGAAAGCTCTTCAAAGAGTGCACACACATAACCCTCTGCAATTCATTCACTTCATTTCAATGTGTCAGTAATTATAGAAGATTGATGTTTTCAGTTCTTGATATGGAACACCATTCTCCCCCCATATTTCATGATTGTACTGGAAGCATTTTGATATCTTTAGCTTATAGAGTGTGACTTCCAGAATCCCTCAGCCTGACTGAAAATTCCTGCAATATCAGGATTACCCAGGGCAAGGGATTTTCAGACTAATGATGTGCTTAGTTGTAGCAGTGCAATTTTCCTTAACATTCCATTAAGGAAATATTTAAAGGGAAGGGGGGACCTACACAACATTCTAGTCCTGGCTCTTTCAGGAGCAGTGTATTTGATTTCTGAAAGCAAATCAGTGTTGTATGTTAGTAGCTGGGAATGGGATTGTCATGCCAGGTTTGAAAGGATTTAGTAATTTTTAAAATAACATTTTTAATTTCAGCCTTCAAGGATGGATCCCAGAAGGACCTTCTCAATTTTAGTGGTACTGTTCCAGTGAAATATGGTAAGATAAATCAAATATCATTTTCTTGCCAGTTAAGAATCTAACTGTAAAATGTGCTGGGTGCTGCCTCATGAGAGTGTGCTGTGCAGCTTCTTTACAGGGGGCTAGAAAGGATTTTACATGAATTGGCAGAAGCCACTTCTACTGCATAAACAAGTGCACAGATGCTGAAATAAGATGGCATTAATTAAATAAGTAAATTAACTCTTAAAAAAATAATTTAGGTTGAGACCATGTAGGCAAACTTTGATTCTGATGGAGGTGATGTGAACTCTCTATGCCTGTATAGGCAGTGTCCAAAAAAAACTAGGAGGCTGTATTTTATTCTTAACTGAAAGCCTTTGCAGTCTGAGGTAAAGCTTTTAATAGATGCCACTTTGCACTAGTTGTTAAGCCCTAAAATAAGTATGAAATGGGTGCCTGCAAGAGATTTCTTTGCTGGAAAAAGAGGCCACATTGGCTGATGGAGTATCCTGGGAAGCAAAGCAGCAACAAAGATTTGTATTATTTGTATACAATCAGTAGCACTTCAAGTTGATCCAGACAAGTCTGTTTTTATTAATTAGCCTAAGTAACTCAAGTACTTTGCACTGTGAATCTGGAAAGAGATCTGTCAGGATTTTTTCTCTGCTGTTATGAAGTGTGAAACACATCACACACACACCTGGGCTTTAGTGTCTCTAAGAGTCATAGAAGCATCGAGGTTGGAGGAGACCTCTCAGATCATCGAGTCCAGTCATTAACCTGCCACTCTGCTGGAACCCCTAAACCCTGCACCATATCTATCCTCCAGTGCCAGATCCAGACACCTCTTAAACGCTTCCAGGGATGGTGACTCCACCACCTCCCTGGGCAACCTCTTCCAGTGCCTGAACACCCTAACAGGGAAAACATTTTTCCTAACATCTAATCTGACTCCCCTGTCTCAGCTCAAGGCCATTCCCTCTAGTCCTCTCCCGGCAGCCATGGCAGGAGAGACCATCCCACACTGCCCTACACCCCCCTGTCAGGGAGTTGTAGAGAGCCATGAAGTCATCCCTGAGTCTCTTCTTGAGGCTAAACAAACCCAACTCCCTCAGACCTTCCTCATATGCTCTAGACTTTTTCTGAGCCTCGTTGCCCTTGGCTGGACTCACTCCAGAGCCTCAATGGCCTTTGTAAAGTGAGGGGCCCAAAACTGAACACAGCACTCTAGATGTGACCTCACCAGTGCCGAGTACAGAGGGACACAAACTGCCCTTGTCCTGTTGGCCACACTATTCTTGATCCAGGCCAAGATGCCATTGGCCTTCTTGGCCACCTGTGCACACTGTTGGCTCATATTTGAGCCACTGTCACCAGCACTGTCAAGTCCCTTTCTGATGAACAGCAGCTTGTAATGGCTTTTATTTTGTATTGAACAGGTAATTGCTATAACATCCCTATTCATCTGTGGATTCTGGATTCTCATCCTTTTGCTCCCCCCATTTGCTTTTTGAAGCCTACTGCGAACATGGGCATTTCAGTGGGAAAACATGTTGATGCACATGGCAGGATTTATTTGCCCTACCTGCAGAACTGGAGCCATGTAAGAGGTGGAGTGGCTGACAGGGGAGGGAAGTATTTGGGAATAATGAATGGTATCATATGGAGATCCATGGAGGGGAGTGGGTAGGGTTCAGGGCTTTTGTTTTCCTGCGTATTTTTGTTAATTTTAAATATGCAATGATTATGTAAAGAGGAGCAGAATGTTCTGTCTCTTGAAATTACAGCTTTCAGGAAGTCTGAAGCAATTGGAAAGTTTAAGTGACTTTAAGGAAAATTATTTCAAGCTGAAGGAAAAAGGGACTGACTTCTTTACAAAGCAATGTAAACCTCATGATATTTTGTTGCTGTGTATAGTGAATATTGGACCAACTGAGCATCCCTCAGGAAGGTTTAATGGAAGTTTCAACCTTTTGGGTGTGTCCCTTCAGCAGAACTCTGAAACAGCACAGAGATTCAAAAGCCAGCTCTGGTGCTAAATGATTTTCTGCACTGTATTAAATTACTCACTGAAATATGACTGCCAGGCCAGCAGAAATGATTTAATGAATGCCAGTTTTCTGAAATGGATGGGCCATATTTTACATCATTGATACAAAAATTCCTGTGGGAACTTCTGCTGACCTCACTGTGTGCTTGGCCTGGAGCTGAATTGCCAGAACTCTGGACACTTAAACTCATCTGAGAAGACTGAGCTATCTTTCATTTAGCTATGATTTGTCCCTTTTGTAATACTGGATGTGTCTATACCAAAGACTTCCATATGTTCACAGATGCATTCAAAAAACTATTTGCGCTGGTTATTTCAGTTTTAGAATTCCTATTTTGTTAAATTCCTTTTCTGGAGCTGAATTGCCAGAACTCTGGACACTTAAACTCATCTGAGAAGACTGAGCTATCTTTCATTTAGCTATGATTTGTCCCTTTTGTAATACTGGATGTGTCTATACCAAAGACTTCCATATGTTCACAGATGCATTCAAAAAACTATTTGCGCTGGTTATTTCAGTTTTAGAATTCCTATTTTGTTAAATTCCTTTTAATCCCCTGTTTGGA